CCAGGTCTTCTCCTTGTCAACTTTTCCATCAATTTTGTCAAGGAACTGCCCATGCAATGCTTTGTTGTGCCACTGTCAGCTCTGGTTTGTAATGCAGTTTTCTTGTACTGGTTCTTTGTCTGCTGTGCTTTGAGAAATTTGTTGTTGTTATTATTATTATTTTGTATAAATATTGTGATATATGAGGGAAAAAACAACATATAATCTTTGAGATTCAACAATCAAATACAAGTATTATTTCCCCTTTTCTGCCACCTCCCCATTCCCACTCATGAACCCATGTCTTTATTGGTATAATGTCCTTATCATTATACTAACAAAGCAACGAATTATGAAAGTAAGTGAATCAGATTTTGCCTGAAACTCAAGAGCAAGCTAATGGCTTTGGCACAGTATGGTCAGCAGGATCAGGTCTGATTCCAACCAGCCTGCAGTCCATATGGGGCACCACCACCATAATGATAATGATAATGATAATAATAATAATAATAATACTTTATTTGTACCCCGCTACCATCTCCCCGAGGGACTCGGTGCGGCTTACATGAGGCCAAGCCCACAGCACATACAATAAACAAAAGCAATAACAATAATCAATACAAAACAGTTAAAATAAACTCAAAACAGAAAATATACAATAAGCAATAACAATAACATATCGCAACATACAGCATTTGAAAACCTATGGCCGGGCCAAATGTAATAATTCAAATTTAAAATCACAGTGCTGGGCATGAACAAGGTAAGACAAATTAAAATAGGGTTTTCAGAGAAAGATGAGGGCGCGCAGACAACCCTAAATCAATATTAAAGTGCATTTGAGGACATATTGCTAAGAGTTTTCCTTATTCTGGGAAGGCACACTGGAACAACCACGTTTTCAGGCTCCTCCTAAAGACTGCTAGCGTTGGGGCATGTCTGATGTCCCTGGGGAGTGAGTTCCAGAGTCGAGGGGCCACCACCGAGAAGGCCCTGTCCCTCGTCCCCACCAATCGCGCTTGCAATGGAGGTGGGAGCGCAAGCAGGGCCTCTCCAGATGATCGAAGAGATCATGTGGGTTCGTACACAGTGATGCAGTCCAAGAGAGGCGTTTTTCCTCTAACAGACTGATGCAGAAATCATAGAATCATAGAATCGACCATATCATTGCATCTCATTTCCCCCAAAACTATTTCTGAGACTCAAATCACACAGGAGGTGCAAAACATAAACTGTATAGGAAGCAGCAGACAAAACGACATGAAAAGGTGGCAATATTAGTAAATGGTGATAACCTGGGAGGAAAGAAAAAGATGGATCATTTTAAAGTGTGCCGTTCTCTTATGCATGTATAGATATTTATTTATTTATTTATTTATTTAAAACTTTTATATCCCGATCTTCTCTACCTTCGTAGAGGAACTCAGACTGGCTATACAAATGAAACCCAAATCCTACACCTACTTGATGGAAATCTAGAAAGCATTCTCAATGTGGTAAGATCCACAGCTTCATTTTGTGGTGTGTACCTTTATTTTTGTTTTGTTTTTTAAACAAACAGCTTTCTGTGAAGTCAGACCTACCACACCCAAGATGTGAGAGATGTACTGCATGCCAAACTGCTTGCAGTCATGTGGCCAGAACTCCAGGAAACTCTCCAGGTCAAGCCTCAGCTCTTTCTTCTCCTCTTCTCCAAAATGCTCCACGTGGTTCTGCAGGCTGTCAATGGAGACGAAACAGCCCTCTGTCAGGCCTCCTCCTTCTCTCTCTATTCTCCACATGATTCGGGCAGCCAACCTAGTAAAAAAAATGACAACGTATTTAACCACTAGCTTTATTGAGTGTCCTTCATACAATTCCCCTTGCCTCTTATGTGTCTGAAGTTGTGAACTCTCTCTGGGGGTCAGTCCAAACATTAGAAGATCTTTCCAAGGAGCTCAAATCTATCCTGCAAATAGGTTCACTACTTTAGGACTTCATCGCATGCAATAAATCAGCTTTCTACACATTTGAGAAATGGCTACTGATGGACTTACTTAAGCAATCCCTCGTTGTCCGAGTAGAATACTCTTCCAAGATCAGTGTACTGGTAGGTCTATAGGTGACTGTGGAGCCCTATTCTTGATCTGCATCTTCTCCCACAGTGAGGGCATTGCTTTCCAGGTGGAAGACGTTCCCGGTCGGGATTGGCTTGATGCGCCTTCCTCTTGGTACATTTTTCTCTTTCGCCCTCCATTCATGCCTCTTCAAATTCTACAGCACTGCTTGTCACAGCTCCAGCTGGAGCACTCAAGGGCCAGGGCTTCCCAGTTCTCAGTGTCTATTTATTTATTATTTATTTATTTACAGCTTTTATATTCTGCCCTTCTCACCCCGCAGGGGACTCAGGGTGGATTACAGTGTACACATATATGGCAAACATTCAATGCCAATTTTTGACATACAAACATATATAGACATACACAGAGGCTATATAACTTTTTCTGGCTGCCGGGGAACTGTCACTTTCATCGTCCATCTGCGACGCTGATGAAGCACTTCCGCATTCCCCGCATGCTTCCCTGCTGGAATGCTTTGCTGGAGTCTTCTTTATGGCCTCATAAATCAGTTAATTTAACCTTCCCACACTTTAAGGTGGTACCTTATTTTTCTACTTGACAGATGCAACTGTCTTTCGCGTTGCAAAGTTCGACAACAGGCTACACACAATTGGTTGGAAACCCACTCCAACCCAGGCTGGCTTTGAACTCATGACCTTTTGGTCAGAGTGATCTTAATGCAGCTGACATTAAGCCAGCTGCGCCACAATCCCGGTGCTATGCCAGAGTTTTTAAGGTTGGCTTTGAGCCCATCTTTAAATCTCTTATCCAACCCAACCACCAACATTTCATTTTCCGTTCTTGAGTTCAGAGTAGAGCAACTGCTTTGGGAGACAGTGGTCAGGCATCCAGACAACGTGGCCGGTCCAGCAGAGTTGATGGCGGAAGACCATTGCTTCAATGCTGGTGGTATTTGCTTCTTCCAGCATGCTGACATTCATCTGCTTGTCTTCCCAAGAGATCTGCAGGATTTTCCGGAGACAGCACTGATGGAATCATTCCAGGAGTTGCATGTGACGTCTGTAGACAGTCGACGTCTCGCAAGCATATAGAAAGGTTGGGAGGACAATAGCTTTATACACAAGAACCTTGGCATCCCTACGGATGTCCCGGTCCTCAAACACTCTCCGCTTCATTCGGAACCATGGCAGTTAAAATGGTGTCAAACTGCATCAATTCTACAGTGTAGACCCAGCCTAAAATCCCGAGTGCATTCAATGCCCCAGTGATACATCAGTGTCACTTCTGTGCAAGGTTAAAATAATCTTATCAGATAGATACCTCTAGGACTATAGGGTTCAGCTACATAGCAGAATCTTTGGGGTTGTTCCCATCAACAAAAGTTATTTTTTCCTACCCAGACATCAGGCTTTCCCCCGTATGCGTATCACCACAGTTGGCAATTTACCAGAAAGACTAGCTCTCTTAACTGGAAGCATAGTTTCCATTGCAGCTCACAATACCTTTTTGTCTCGTATATCACAATGGGGTATTTTTACCCAGCATCTGCTATAAATAGCATACTGGATAAATGAAAGGACTCCACAGTAGCTACATCTAACATTTAACAAAAAGCAGATGGCAATTCCAGTCTACATCTTCAAGTAGTCTCCTCTAATTTCTGACAGAAAAAGAACATTGATTTGCTCAAGTATCTCTCACTCTATCCATATATATATATATATATATATATATATATATATATATATATAATTTACTTTAGTCATTTCTTTTGTGAATGTAAAGTCTTTTGATGTGTACCTTTTGTATACATTCTTTTATTGGAAAACTGGGTCACAATAGATTGAAGTGCAAAAACGAATATGTGCCTTGAAGTTGCTTATTACTCCGAGAAGTATGATTTGAGCCATTCTGAAATACATCATTCCTCCACAGCTTAACTTTTGTCAATTGGATTATTCATTTATTTACTTCTCCAGTGTACCCAAAGTGGTTTACAAGATCATTAAAACCACATCCTAACATCAGCCATATAAATAAGACATTAAAGTAACATGAAATTATATTCAAACACTATCCATCCCCTGCCATGTGTTGCTGTGGCCCAGTCTGGTGATCTAGAAAATAAAGTAATGAGAAAATATTGGATTCTAATATATATAATTTCTTTATTTTTGTGGGTAAACAATATTTCTTCTTGTTTCTTTGTCAGTATTGATATAGAGATTGCTGGGTTTGCCTACTCTGGAACATGCAACATATAATTGTCCTTCTTTAGGGGTCCCCTTCAAATGTATGATACTATATCTGTCATATACGTGTGTGTGTGTGTGTGTGTGTGTGTGTGTGTGTGCGAATCATACCTATCTATCTATCTATCTATCTATCTATCTATCTATCTATCTATCTATTTCACCCTTCTCACCCCACAGGGGACTCAGGGCAGATTACAATGTACATATACATGGCAAATATTCAATGCCATAGACACACAACATATATAGACAGACACACAGAGGCTATTTAACATCCCAGCTTTCATGAGGGTATTCTGGCCACCACATGAGCTGTCACTTCACCGTCCATTAGTGACAATGATGGAGGACTTCCTCATTCTTTTTGCACAGTTGCTGGAGATTTTTATGGCGTCGTAAATTAGTTAAATTAGCCTCCCCATATAAGTGGTACTTAAATTTCCTACTTGACAGATGCAACTGTCTTTGGGCTGCAAAGGTTGACAATAAATTGGTCGGAAGCTCACTCCGACCCAGGCTGGCTTCGAACTCATGACCTTTTGGTCAGTAATGATCTTAATGCAGCTGACTCTCAGCCAACTTCACCACAGTCCAATTTATTCAATTACACTTTATATTGTTTGATAAGTAACTAGTTATAGTTACTTGTTACAATGATCAATAACTCACTTGTGCTACTTCTTTCTTGCTTTTTTATATAACTGTTTTGTTACTTTTTTTAAAGATAAGAAATGGAGCCACTGTGGTGTAATAGTTTGAGCATTGGGCTAAAACTCAGGAGACCAGGGTTCAATTCCCTGTTTGGCCATTGAAACCCATTGAGGGACCGTGGGAGAGTCATACACTCTTAAACACAGAAAATCCTGCAATAGAGTCACAATAGGTTGGAAACTACTTGAAAGTATACAACATCTACAACAACAAAGATAAGAAAGTGGCCAAAAAACTATATAGCTGTAGAAAGCACTGTGTTAGCTTTGCATTAGTTCTAGCAATGTACCCTGCAATGAAGCTGGACAATTTATAGGGCTTGGTACCACGTAGACACCAGTGAAATAACTTTCCTGAATCAGTAGAGGCATTCCCACCTTCTGCATGAGACTTTTGCTTCCAACCCTCTGCATGAAACTTGCACAATGATATGCTGATCAGCCTCCATGTGGCAGTGCCACTCCACCTACCGGATGTTTTCATTGGGTGCTTTCCCATGCTTCTTGATGGCAGCGCACTCACTCTTGTGGTTCACCCAGGCATCCTTCTGGCAGGTCCGGTCACAGTAGTGGGCAAATTTGCACTGGCCACAGCGATGGAGTTTTGCATGCCTTTTAAAGCATGTATGGCAGACAAGATGGGTGAGGCTGAAAAAGAGGTTGAAGGATAAAATCATAAGTAGAAATCTGCAAAGAGTAGTATAGCACAAGAGCCTTCCAGTCACACCAGCAATTCTTTCAAACATTGCCCTTTCAGTTCAAGAGGCAAAGGTAAAGGTTTTTCCCTGACATTAAGTCCAGTCGTGTCCAACTCTGGGGGTTATTATTCATATCCATTTCTAAGCTAAAGGGCCAACATTGTCATAGACACCTCCAACATCATGTGGCGGGCATGACTGTATGGAGCGCTGTAACCTTCCCACCAGAGCAGTACCTATTGATCTACTCACATTTGCATCAGGCCAGTAGCCAGGATTTTGATTCGGAGGGTGTTGAGTTGGATTCAGGGGGGGGGGGGGGCTGAGGATCTACCCTAGAAAACCTTTTGTATTGTTATCCCAATAGCCCCATGTGTATGGGATATATTGAGCATGGTGATCAGATCATGATATGAATAAACATAAAAGTTAAAATATTGTACCAGTAAGGCCTTCTGAGAATTGGGGGGGGGGGTGAACCCCTCAAGGCCCCCCCCCCCCAGCTACATGCCTGATTTGCATGTTTCCGAACTGCTAGGTTGGCAGAAGTTAGGGCTAACAATGGGAGCTCATGCCGCTCCCAGATTCAAACCTGTGACCTTTCGGTCAGCAAGTTCAGCATCTCAGCACTTTAACCGATTGTGCCACTGGGGGCTACTATTTGTTTGTTTGTTTGTTTGTTTGTTTACAGCTTTTATATTCCGCACTTCTCACCCCGCAGGGGACTCAGGGCGGATTACAGTGTACACATATATGGCAAACTTTCAATGCCAATTTTTGACATACAAATGTATACAGACATACATACACAGAGGTTATTTAACTTTTTCTGGCCGCCAGGGGAGCTGTCGCTTTCATCGTCCATCTGTGACGCTGATGAAGCACTTCCACATTCCCCGCGTGCTTCCCCGCTGGAATGCTTTGCTGGAGTCTTCTTTATGGCCTCATAAATCAGTTAATTTAGCCACCCCACACTTTAAGGTGTTACCTTATTTTCCTACTTGACAGATGCAACTGCCTTTCGGGTTGCAAAGGTCGACAACAGGCTACACATAATTGGTCAGACACAGGCTGGCTTCGAACTCATGACCTTTTGGTCAGTAGTGATCTTAATGCAGCTGTCTCCCAGCCAGCTGCACCACAGTCCCAGTACATGACAGCCATGAAATATTACAGGCAGAATAAACTTGATGAGCAGTTGTAGAAATTGTATTCCTGTTGGAGTATGTTGTTAGCTTAGCTCTCTTAGAGTTCTTAACAGTAAAACTTTAGTTTGTTTCTTTAGTCATTTGTGTCTTTGCTCCTTATTACTCAGAATTGGTAGCTGCTTCTCACACACACTGTCTCCACCACCCCATTCTCCCATCCACCATTCATTCACTTCATCCCAGATCAATTTTCTTAACTTCTTCATTTCTGCCTATTCCAAAATTGAACCCTTTCACTTGCAGATCCCTTCCGCACTTTTCAGTGCCAAATTGGAGCCAAATAGGGGAGAGCAATTGGTAGGTACATGATTCATAGGAAGGTACAATTGTGGGCCACTTTCATAGCACAAGAGGAAAAATTTGACTCCCAAAACTCACTGGAAGCTAAACGTCTACTGTTATATTGCTGAATTTGGTAGTGTGTCAATAGTAGGGCTGGGCGGTTTCGTTTCGTTAATTCGTAATTCGTTAATAATTCGTTAATTTTTTCAATTACAAAACGATAACGAACCATTCTGGAGCAATTATTAAAAAAACCGAATTTTCAAAAACGTTTTGTAAATGCTTCGTATTTCGATATTGTATTCGTTTCGTTATTGTTTTGAGGTCGTTTCGTTATTATTTCCGCATGTCTGGGCCAGTTTTATGGTTTAATTAGTGAAAAAAAAATTATAATATCACACCAACAGTCAACAACAGAGGGAGAGGGAAGCTTCAGAAGGTTTTGGAGGTTTTTTAGCGTATTTCACGGTCGCGCCCGCCATTAACGAATCGATTCGTTATTGTTTCGGAAATCGATTCGTTAATTTTTTACCATTTACGAAATTTCGTAAATATCGAACTTTTTAAAAGGAAAATTTTGTAATTATTTTAAATATCGAAACAAAAAAAACCCCAAATACAAATCGATTTTAGAAACAAATTTTTCCGTTGTTACCCAGGCCTAGTCAGTAGCAGTCCTTTCTCTGAACCACAGGGCATGTAGACCTTGTTTTTCAGCAGAATAAACTTCTAGGAGAGGGGTCCTGGAACTGAGCCCCAGGTGATACTAAGGGCCTCTTGTCTCCAAATGAGTTCTGCAACCAGCCAATAGTTGGCATTTCCACTCCATGAGAATACTAAATTGTCTTGATCTCTTTGGCCATGCTGGACAAGGATGATGAGGGGATTCGTTGGGATATTTTGTATAGAAACTAGCTGTACCTGGCCACGCGTTTCTGTGGCCATGTGTAGTTTAATGGTAATGAAAGAAAAAAGAAAGAGCTGGGTTTGCGTTGCTGTGGCCCAGGGAAGGCTTTGACGATGTCTTCTTTTATGGCCAAAGGAGGTTGGACTGGATGGCCTTTGGGGCTCCATTCCAACTGCATGGCCATCTGTCAGGACGGCTTTGATGGTGTTTTCCCTTACTGCAAAATGAGTTTGAATTGGATGGCCTCTGGGGCCCCTTCCTATATCCCAAAGGGTTTCTCGTGCCTGTCCTTCCCTGCATGGTGTCAAAGGGCCTCTTCCCAGCAATCCGACTCCCTCCCCAGCCTCCCTCTCTCTCCTCCAGTTCAGGGCCCTCTTTACCATGTTGGGCTCTGCACCATCCAAGAACTGCAACAGCAGTTTCCCCACAACTTCAACCACCAACTCTGCCATTTTGACTGCTGGTGAGGCTTCTTTCACAACAGGAGTGGGCCTGCGGCTTCAATGCCTCTATGCAACAGCCCTCTTGGCTCCAAAGCCCTCCTGACAGATGGCTGTCCATTTGGAAGGGAGCCCCAAAGGCTATGCAGCCCAACCTCCTTTGGCTGCAAAGGAAGACACCATTAAAGCCCTCCCAACTCATGGCCAGTTGGAAGGGGGCCCCTGTGTATGTGTGGCTGTGCACACACACTTGGCTCCCGAAGCAGGTAAGGCCAGCTCCTTCACGGTGGGCAGCCATTCATGCAGGGAGGGTTGCCTGGTGGCCACTTGGGCCTCAAGGAGGCACTATGGTGGCAACAGCTGCTGCCGGGGCTTGCCTCTCCAAGCCTCCACGCCCTCCTTCCTTCCCTCTTTCCTTTCCTCAGTCTCTCCCCTCCCCAAAAGAAAGATGACTCTGCCTTCGCACATGAAAAGGGACTCCAGAGCTAGGCTTCTCTTCCCTCACAACAGTTTGTGCATTATTTTTCTCATGCACTGGGGAGGGGGGTTTTGTGCATGCTCTGTAAGGTATTTTTCTTTTTCGGAAGTTTTAACTTATTTCCCCATCATTTTTTAGGATTTTTTGTTTGAAAGACATAGATTGGATTAGTATGTGTTTTGTTGCCAAATTTGGTGTCAATTCATCCACTGGTTTTTGAGTTATGTTAATCCCACAAACAAATATTACATTTTTATTTATATAGATGAATTAATAGAAGAACATAACGTTATCTACCAAGCCCCAAATAATGGTGCAGTCTTAGAACATTGAACAGGACTCCAAACAGACCGATGTCGTTTTACGTGAGCTTGGTGCTTATATTTGGTCTCTTCCAAACACCTTTGTCATCTCTCGGGCAACAAAATGACTGCAGCTGCTCTTTATACAAGAGCCAGCTGTCTCCATAAATTTCATTTGAAACTTGGGAGGCATTTAGTCAAAGGTGGCAGGACAGCTGCAAACTCAGACATTCTCCTCTTTTCTGTTTCTGCTCTCATTCATGGTTTACATGTGGAAATGTGGCTTCTGGAATTTGGAGTGATGCCTAGTGATTAAGAGATAACAATGCACATTCTTGGTTTGCAGGAGAGAGATAATAATTCGATCGAGAAGAAAATTACATGGGCGTGCACATGCCTAAAGATATCTAGTGGCACATATCCATTTGCCCCAGGACAGGAATGTACAGTAGGACTCCTGGATCTATGACAGTTACATTCCTGGCTTTGTGTCGAAATGTGAATCCTCAGATAATGGCAACCCTATTGAAATGAAGGCCTTCCAGCTCAAGAATACCATAGAGTCCTGCTGGGGGACTAGACAATGCTTGTTTGGAGGTTCTAGCAGGGGAGCGCAGCTATCGTAAACCCGAGACCGAAGACTGGAGCTCTTGGTACACTCCTTCTATACCTGGGACGTCGTTCTCTTCCACCGAGCGCGCAGCTTCAGGAGGGACGCACATGGAGCGGTGAGGGAGGAAGGGGACTTCTCAGTGATGGCCCCTCGCCTCTGGAACACCCTTCATGGAGAAATAAGACAAGCCTCATCCCTCCCCTCCTTTCTTAAGAGCCTGAAGACCTGGTGGTTTAAACAAACCTTTGAGAACGACTAGTTCTAGCTCTGCCCCAGATGCTGATGAAATTGGTCTTATCTTTTTCTACCAATTACCCAGGTCACTTTCTTCTATTAGGCCCTGGAAATGTACAGCCATAGACTCTACCTAATTTCCTGGGCCCTCTAAAATTGCATTAGCCCAGCCTGGCCTTTTAAACTGCCTTGGACAAGCAGGATTATTTTAAATATATGTGCTATTGTGGTTTTTAATGCAGGATTCTTTTAATATGTGTGTCATGGCGACAATTTTTATGTTTATATTTTGTTTTGTTAATTCTTATGGTTATGTTGTTTTTTACTTTGTATGTTTTGTGATGTTACCTGGGAACCGCTCTGAGTCCCCTCGGGGAGATGGAACGGTATATAAATAAATTATTATTATTATTATTATTATTATTATTATTATTGTATTATATTGTCTTGTTAATTTTATGTTTATGCCGTTTTCTTTGTATGTAT